ACAGTTTGTGTTTCCATATGAATTCCTATATTGTTTTTTCTAGGTCTGAGAAGAATGTTGCTGGTAATTTGATGGGTATTGATTTAACTCTGTAAATTGCCTTAGGTAAGATGGACATCTTCACAATGTTGATTCTTCCAATCCATGAGTATGGGATATTTTTCCACTTGTTTGTGTAATCTTTGATTTCTTTGAGCAGTGTTTTGTAGTTTTCATTGTAAAAGATCTTTCATGTCCCTGGTTAGGAAGATACCAAGGTATTTCATTTTTTGTGTGGCTATTTTCAATGGGATTGTGCTTTTTATTTGGGTTTCTGTTTGTTTGTTATTGGTGTAAAGAAATGCAATTGTCTTTTGCACATTTATTTTATACCCTGAGCCTTTGCCAAAGTCCTTTATCAGTGCAAGGAGACTGTTGACAGATTCTCTTGGGTTTTCAAGGTACACAGTCATGTCGTCTGCAAAGAGAGATAACTTGACTTCCTCTTTTCCTATTTGGAGACCCCTCATCGCCTTCTCTTTTCTGATTGCTCTAGCCATGACTTCAATACTATATTGAACAGAAGGGAAGAGAGTGGGCATCCTTGTTCCAGTTTTCAGGGGAAATGGTTCCAATTTTTGTCTGTTTAGGAGTATGCTAGCTGTGGGTTTCTCAAAGATGGCTTTTATTATTTTGAGGTATGTTCCATGTATGCCTAGGTGTTTGAGGGTTTTTATCAAGAAGGGTGCTGGATTTTATCAAAAGCTTTTTCTGCATCTAATGATATAATCATGTGGTTTTTGTTCTGACGTCTGTTGATGTATTAATTACATTTATTGTCTTGCGAATGTTGAACCAGCCTTGCATCCCAGGGATGAAGCCTACTGGGTCATGATGGATGATTTTTGAGATGTGTTGTTGAATCTGGTTTGCTAGGATCTTGTTGACAATTTTAGCATCTATGTTCATCAAAGATATTGGCCTGTCGTTCTCTTTTGTTGTTGGGTCTTTACCTGACTTGGGTATCAATGTGATGTTAGCTTCATAAAATGATTTGGGGAGAGTTCCAGCTTTCTCAAGCGCCTGGAATACTTTCAGTAGAATTGCTATCAGCTCCTCCCTAAATGTCTTATAGAATTCTGCTGGTAAGCCATCTGGTCCAGGGGTTTTTTTTTTTTTTTTTTTGTAGGTAGTTTTCTTATTACATAGTCAATTTCCTTGATTGTTATTGGTCTCGATTTCTTCTTGTTTCAACCTAGGCAGGTTGTGCAATGTCAGAAAGTCCTCCATTTACTTAAGGGTTTCAAGTTTGTTTCCATACAAGTGTACGTAGTAGTCTCTACTGATCTTTTGTATTTCTTCATGGTCAGTTGTGACTTAATGTTTTGTGTTTCTGATTGTGTTTATTTGGGCTTTTTCTCTCTTTTTCTTGGTCAGTCTAGCTAGGGGACCATCGATCTTGTTTATCCTTTCAAAGAACCAGCTTTTTGTTTCATTGATTTTTTTCTGTTATCTTTTTGTCTTCTATGTCCTGGATTTGGGCTTTTATTTTGGTGATCTGGATTCTTCTGCTGAAGTTAGGGTTTTGGTGGTCTTGCTTTTCCACCTTCCTTAGGTGACTTGTTAGGCTGTTAGTTTTTGATCCTTCTGTTTTCTTCAAGTGCGTTTGTAGAGATACGAGTTTCCCTCTTACTACAGTTTTTGTGGCATCCCAGAGATTTTGGTAAGATGTTTCTTCATTTTCGTTTGTTTCCAGGTATCTTTTAATCTCTGTTTTGATTTCATCATTGTCCCAGGAGTTGTTTAGCATCATGCTGTTTAGTGTCCATATCTTTGTGGGTTTTGGGGAAACCTTGTTGGTGTTGATGTTTATTTTTATTCCACTGTGATCCGAGAAGGTGTATGGCAAAATTTTGATATTTTTAAATTTGCTTATGCTTGATATATGGCCAATTATGTAGTCGATCTTAGAATACCTTCTGTGCGGTGATAAGTAGAATGTGTATTCTGTGGTCGGATGAAGTGTTTTGTAGGTATCATTTAAGTCCATTTGGTCAAGAGTCACATTGAGGTTTTGGATCTGGTTGTTTATTTTTTGTCCTGATGATCTGTCTAGGATTGTGAGTGGGGTATTAAAGTCCCCAGCTATGATAGTGTTGGAGTCAATATCTTTTTTTAGTTTACCTAGAAGCTACTTTATGAAAGTTGGCGCTCCTATGTTGGGTGCATATATGTTTAGGATGGATATTTCTTGTTGATGGATTGAACCTTTTATCATTATGTAGTGACCTTCTGTATCTTTTTAAATTTTTGATAGCTTAAAGGGTATTTTGTCTGAGATTAAGTTTGCGACTCCTCCTTTCTTTTGTGTTCTGTTCACCTGAAAATTTGTTTCCCATCCTCTTACTTTGAGTCTGTGAGTGTCCTTTCTAGTGAGGTGAGTCTCTTGAAGGCAATAAATTGTTGCCTGGTGGTATTTTATCCATTTTGCCATTCTATATCTTTTCAGTGGTGCATTTAGTTCATTCACATTTCGGCTAATTATTGAAATGTGAGAGTTGATCCCTATCATAAGGTTCTTATGGAGTTGTTGTTGTTCCTGTTTGTTTGTTGTATTTTTTTTGGTTTTGGATTTGGTTCATGTGTGTTTTTAATCTTTTGCTTGTACTCTTGTGAAGAACGTTGTTGTTCTTTTTTCCTTTTCTTCTGTGTTCAGTTGTTTCTTAAGTGTTTCTTGTAGAGGTGGTCTGGTGGCAATGTAGGTTCTTAGGGATTGGATATCTGGGAAAGATTTCAATTCTCCCTCACTGATGAAGCTTAGCTTGGCTGGGTAGGTTATTCTTGGTTGAAATTGTTTATCTTTTAGAACTTTGAAGATATGGCTCCAAGTTCTCCTAGCCTGGAGGGTTTCTATAGATAAATCTGCTGCAATTCTAATTGGTCTTCCCTGATAGGTAGTCTGTCCCTTTTTCTCTTGCTGCCTTTAAGAATTTTTCTTTTCTTTTTCTTCTTTTTTTTTTGAGTTGGAGTCTCACTCTGTCGCCCACACTGGAGTGCAGTGGCCGCTCCTGGCCATTGCATCCTTGACCTGGTGGGCTCCAGTGATCCTTCCACCTCAGCCTTCTGAGTAGCCAGAATTACAGGCATGCACTACCACGCCCAGCTGATTTTTTGATTTATTGTAGAGATGAGGTCTCGACGCCAAGTTGCTCAGGCAGGTCTTGAACCTGCGGGCCCAGGCAATCCACTCACCTCAGCCTCCCAAAGCACAGGATTACAGGCTGAGCCACCGAGCCCGGCAGGATTTTTTCTTTTATACCTACTTTGTTTAGGCAAATTATTATGTGTCTGGGAGTTGGTCTTCTCATTTGTTGTCTTGCAGGGATTCTTTGAATCTCTTGTGTTTGAATTTTTGCATCACTGATGAGATGAGGGAAGTTTTCTTGAATGATTTCATGAAATGCTTGTTCCAGTGTGGCCTCTGTTTCTCTCTCTGCCTCAGGAAGGCCAATTACTCTTAGGTTTTTTCTCTTGAAGTAATCATTCATCTCTTGAAGGTTTTGTTCTGTCTTTTTAAGTTTGTTTTCTATGTTTTTTACAGTTTGGGTTAGTTCTGTGTTTTGGTCTTCGAGCTCTGAGATTCTTTCTTCTGCTTGGCTAATTCTGCTTTCCATGATTATTAGTCTCTTATTTATTTCCATCACAGTATTCTTTACTGCTGTTATTTCTGACATCAGCTCCTTCCTATTTTTCTCTTGCCTCTCCTCAATTTTTTTCATTCTATTAATGTCTTGATGTCTGGGTTTGTTGCATGTGACCAATCATTCTGGGGGCTCTTCATTGTTTGTGTTCCAAAGTCTGTTTTCTCAGTGTCTGACCTCCCAGGGGTCTGTGTGAGACCCATATTCTTCTTTGGGTTTTTCTTCATTTGTGCAGATTTTTGCTCCCTACTTTTTCCTTCTCTCCACTTCACTGTCTTCTTAAATTCTGTTATTCAGGGGTGGAGGGGTTGCTTTTACTTCTGTTTGTTCAGTCTCCTATTTTATGTATATCCTCTTGCTTTGTTCAATTCTGGATTTGGACTGTAGGTTGGGGGTGGTCTTTTTTGCAGTTTTGGGATTTACTTAAGGGGAGAGCTGTGATTCAAAATCTATCTGCAGATCCTGGTATCCGCTGACAGGTGTATGGATGATCTGAAACCCACTTCCCACTGCCTTGGAATCTGTCCTTGCAGTGGGGTTGTAAGTTTACTCCCTGAAATAAAATGAGGTTAACAGAGGGAAGAGAATGGAGTGGGCAGTGGGAGTAAGAGTTGGGTGGAGAGAGGAGTAAGGGGGAAAACAGAAGAGTGTACCAACATGGAGAGAGACACAAAAACTGAAACAGATAAAAGCAATACACCACGGCTACAAACTAACCAACTCCCATACAAAAAAAAAAAAAAACTAAAACATACAATGATGCTAACATACAAGCTAACCAACCTCCTTATTGGTGTGCTATTCCTCTATACAAAGATGGGGTTTACAGAGAGAAGAAAAGAAAAAAAAGGAAAAACAAAAGGAATAGAATCAAGTCAGTAAACTAACAGAACCAATCAATCACACTCTGAGACTTTTCGTTTAAGTCCAATGTCCTTTCAGCTGTGATTTCTAATTGTCTTTGCAGGCTGGTAAATTTGGTCACAGTTAGAGTCAGTTGCCCCTTGCTTGCTGTGAAGGGAGGTTCAGATCTGGACTCCCTGCCCAGATCAGCACTCAGATCTGGCCTGTGTATTTATCAAGCTTCTGTTTTTCCCATTTCGGTGTTGTTACCTTGATACCTTGAATCAGCAGCAGGTGGTGCTATCGCACCGCTCCAGATGATTTTGTCTGCAGCTGCTCGCCCCAGACGGGAGGGAGTTGGCAATGGGAGCCCACCTCACAGTACACGGGAGGAGGCCCACAGCCTGGCTCTGGAGGAGAAGCAGGGAGTGACTTTGGCAGTGATGGTGACAGTGCTCTCAGTAGATCTTGCTTGCAGGGTCTTCACGGTCTGAAGTCATGGGTTGCCTCAGGCATGGTTAGTGCGATGGCCACGGCAGCAGCTGCAGTGGCCACCCAGACCGCCGTGTTGTTTGAGCAGTGGTGACAGCTGAGCTTCATGTAAAGAGCAGGCTGCGGACAATGGGAACTGCAGCCACCAGGGAGAGAGCTGGAGTCTTTATGTGTTCTCTTTCGTGGAGGGTCTCACAGACCGAGCTGCCCCATCACCTTCTTGCCACAGTCCCAGGACTTTTTTTTAAATAGAAAGAAAATGAAGGCAGGGTTGAGTTTGAAAAAGAAATTTGTCTTGTTCAACTTTCCTGTAGGAAGAACACTCTGGAGATTTGGAAGAATTACCTAAAACAGGTTCTAAAATAAACAGTATTGCCTTGAGGACCGTAGAAGAAAAAGGTGAGTAAGTTAGCTGTTCAGATCAGTTGAGAGACAGCTTTCAAAGCAGTCGGGGCATCTCTCACCTGCTTCCCCAGCTGAAGCTTCTGTTTTGTTCATTTGCTTTTGCTGCGTCAGATCATGCCTGTGCTTACGATTAGTAGGGCTTGGAGTCATTTCTAATTTGCATCCTACCGTACCCAAAGTGTGCTCCTTGTCAGTTAACCATACTGAGTCTCATTAATTTTGGTGTAGGAAGCATGAAAATGGAGTGTGTATGCATGTGTGGCTGAGGCTGTGCAGGTCCCCTAGCCGGGTGTCTTAGTGGGGAAGGCTGCCTGTAGTCGCCAGCAGGGAACTACGCTCTGCTTTTTCTGCAGATGAGTATAGCAGCAGTGAAGCTACTGGCGAAAAGGCAGAGCAAAATGATGATGACAACATAAAATCTCAGGAGGTGAGAATATTATTCATGTTTATTTGTTCAAAATTATTTAAATACTAAAACCAAATTATATGTGTTAAATACTGTTACCTAAAGTTTTTCTTAAGTACTTTTGAAGGAGCTTTTTTGTTTTCATTTTAGTATAATGGGGCACCATTTTTTACAGTGCATTTTATCATTATGATTAATTTTGTTCTCTTCAACTTTGTTTCATCATAACATCTGTATGAGACTGACTTACATCATGGTCAGATAGGATCAGCCCTATGCTCTCCATCAGTTTCACAGTCATGTTGCTGACCTTGCAACTTAGTTCTGCCAGCTCAGGCACCAGGAGTTGGCAGCAGGCAAGAGGCAGCCTCAGCTGTGGAGTCCAGCCAATTTGAAATGGGAGCAGCAGCAAGAGGGTGTGCAGAAGGCGTGCAGGGAGTACCCGAGGGAACTGGTTTTATGAGCCAAGGTCATGGGTTCCTGGGAGGCTGCAGGCGCAGACAGACCTCCCCAGCCCTGCCTACTCCAGGCCCGTTGGGCTTTTCAGGGAGCCCATGGGGCAGAGAACTGCAGTGGCCTGAGACTAAGCCCCATAAATCAAGAAGCACAGCCTGTACACTGGCCAGATATTCTGGATAACCATTGTCAAGTTTGCCAGTTTTTAAATTGTTGTTTTTGTTGTTGTTGATCCTCTCATACATCTATGTGAGACGTATGGGGATCTCTCAGGCTGAATCCCAACTTAAATGGACATGTGTATTTATTACAGAATTAAAAGGTAGCACTTTTATTACCTCATTGTCTCATTAATTCTCACAAATTTATGAATTCATATGACAGTTATCAGTATTTATCAAGGGAGAGAAATAAGTAAAAACTAAGCCCAAGAGCACATACTTTTTAAGTGACAAAGCTAGGATTTGAGCCCTTTTAGGAAGGAATTCTAAACCAAATTTTGAGAAAACAAACTGTGTATAATAGATGATAAATTTTTTTTTTATTTCCCTCATAGGAAGACCAGCCGATAATTATTAAAAGGAAAAGAGGAAGACCTCGCAAATACCCTGTAGAAGCAGCATTAAAAATGAGTAGGTATTTGGTATGTTTTCAGTTCATACACAAGAAATTTTCAAACTGATTTTCTATATGAGATTTTCCTTTTTTTTTTTTTTAGAGGAGGACTCCAAAACAGATACTGGCATTGTCACTGTAAGTAATTGCAAAAGACGACAACTTCAACTTCAGATACTTGCTCTTGTCATTGGAAAGCATGAACTGCAATGTCTAGTATTCTGAACTACTATATTTTCTTTAAGTACTTTAAGTATTTTCTTTAAGACTTTTGTAAACAAAACACCGAGTAACCATTCAAATATTTTGATTAGTAGTATCTTCATATAAACAAAATTATATTCGTTTTTCTTCATTCTGATTTCATCCTCACTTAAGAGTTTGATTGATTATTTAAAAATTATCTAGGGCTTACCTTGTTGTGGTCACCTTTGGTTAACATAGAAATTAGCATTTTATATGATCTTGAGATAGTGGTTTCTTTATGGAAATCCCTGAGTTATCTTAGTATCTACCGTTCATAAAATTATTTTTGTCCTAAAATGTGCACCAATTTCCGAGCAGGAAATTTCTAAGTTATGTTTCACCTTTTTGAACGTGCTTTATCTGTGACCCTGAACTACATACCCAGTGAAATCATTGTGCCAATATTTCATTGCATGCATTTCAATGACAGCATTATAAGGAAGACAAACCACGTCCTCTGACCTAACAAAAGCACATGAGATTCAAGCCTCAGCTTTGCCACTTACTCCCAGGCCTGTGACTCAGGGCCAGTGGCGAACCTCTGGAAGCTCTGTTTTCTTAAATATAAAGTGGTGTAATGATCCCTGCAGTACTTATAGAATGATTATAAGACAACAAAACCAGAGAACCACATGTGAATGCATTTACCAACATGTGAAATTGTTTGCACTGGGGGGGCATTAACCTCCAGTGCTTGTCCTCCAGCAGGGCATGCTGCATTGCCTCCAGTGCTTGTCCTCCAGCAGGGCAGACGGGGACAAGGCTTATGGGAAAGACCATGTGCAAAAGCTCAGGCACCCACATTTGCTAACGTATACATAATCAACTGCAGAAAATAGGTTCCAAACATTCTGCCTATATAAAGAGAGACCCTAAACCTTTACACTGTTAATTGCCTTTCTAGGTCATGAGGATAAACTGCTTATTTCAGTTTTTATTTGTTTAAACGTAGGTAGAACAGTCTCCACCTAGCAGCAAACTGAAAGTAGTGCAAACGGGTATGTACCTACAGCATTCCTCTGTGTATGGTCTGAGGAAGGGACAGGGAGAGTGGTATTGGAGAATATTTTGGACTTTCATTTTGTTTCTCATTGAAATGGATGGGCTCAGTAAAAGCAGTGATTCATATAGCTGTGAGATCCAAATAGCTACTGGCGTACAGAGTCCAGGACTCAAGAGATGAAATTGTTTTGAGTATTTTTCTCCTCATTCCAAGGAGAAAAAACTATTCCAAAATGTTGATAATGATTAGCTCTGGATAGTGGAATAATGGGAACATTACTTATTATTTGTTACTGTTGCATACATTTTTCAGATTTTTTACAGTATGTATAAATTTTATGGTTTAAAATTGTTTACGTAAAAGCAGGAAGAGCCATTGGACTTTAAAGGGTTGATACAGGAAAGTATTCACATGACAGCTATTTTGTATCAAATAGCATGGTTTGGTCAGGCTAGGAAAGTACATATTCTGATTAGCAAAATAAAGCAAACAGGTAATGTAAAATTTTTCTACATTTAACTATATTATCTTGTGATCATACTTGTTTTTCTTGCCTCTTGGTAAATTAAGGTTTATTTTTAAAAGGGTGAGGGAGCTTTGTGTATGCTTTGCTTATAACCAGTTTTTATTAATAATTTCATAATATTTAAATCCATACAACAAAAGAGTCTATAACTTGATTGGCTTTTTTTTTTTTTTTTTTTGAGTTGGGCTCTCGCTGATCTCAGCTCATGGCAGTTTGAATTCCTGGATTTAGGCAATCCTGCCTCAGTCTCCCAACTAGCTAGGACTACGGGCACATGCCACAATGCCCAGCTAATTTTTTGGTTTTTTGTAAAGATGAAGTCTTGTTTTGTTACCTACCTAGGCTAGTCTCTAACTCCTGGGCTCAAACAATCCACTGGTCTCCCTCCCAACGTGTTGGATTATAGGCATGAGCCACCACACCCAGCTGAATGCCTTTTAAAGATTCTAGTTTGAACTGTGTGATTATGTTTTGGCATTGTTATTTAACAGTAATTTTCTTTAAAAATTCCAGAATCTGGGTATTGATGATCAGTTTAAGACAGACTTCTTTGTTGGCCTTTCTAGTGGGTTAGCTTTTTCATATTCATTCGTTTTTTGGGGGTTTTTTTGAGTTGGAGTCTCATTCTGTCACCCAGACTGGAGTGCAGTGGCTGCTCCCAGCCACCGCAGCCTCGACCTGCTGGGCTCCGGCGATCCTTCCGCCTCAGCCTTCCAAGTAGCCGGAATTACAGGCATGCACTACCACACCCGGCTGATTTTTTGATTTATTAGAGATGAGGTCTCGCTGCCCAGGCGGATCTCGAACCCACGGGTTCAGGCAATCCACTCACCTCAGCCTCCCAAAGGCGCGGGATTACAGGCTGAGCCACTGAGCCCGGCTTCATTAGTTTATTAAAGTTGCAGAAAAGGGCAATTACTAGTCTTCATCACTACTAAGTACTTTGTTTTTGAGTTTCTGACAAATATCCCCATAATTTCAGCTTCAAATAATCTTCATTTTTTTTAAAACCAGGATACATTCTCAGAAAATTTTAACATCTACAGAATGAAAAAGCATAAAGAATAGGCATGCACTACTTACAAATAGGCTTATAACATGCATATTTTTTGTTACCATGACATAACTAAATTATTTTGGACTCAAACGAATTCCATCTTTCAGTCTACTTGTCAGTTATGTGACTTCGAACAAATTATATAACTCAAGTTACTCAGGCTGGATGCTGTGAACCAGAAATGTAATACTTATAGAGCTACATTGGGATTTAAAGGTACAAGTTAAGTTATCCCTTATCTCCTGACAGGCGCAGTGGCTCACACCTATTATCCTAACTACTCAGAAGGACAAGGCAGGAGAATCACATGATGCTAGCAGTTCAAGACTAGCCTGGGCAACATAGTGAGATCCTGTCTCTTAGGGAAAAAAAAATTACTAATTAGCTGGACATGGTGGTGGCACACATCTGTAACCCCAGCTATTCTGAAGGCTGAGGCTAGAGGCTCACTTGAACCTAGGAGTTAAGGCTACAGTGAGCTATGATCACACCACTGTATTCTAACCTGGGCAACAGAGTGAGACCCTATCTCTTAAAAAAAAAAAGAGAGCGAGAGAGAAAGAAAAGAAAAAGTATTCCTTATCCAGAATACTTGGGATTTTAGATTTTTTTCCAAATTTGGAATATTTGCATTTACCTTGTGCATCCCTAATCCGAAAATCCAGAAGGCTCCGGTGAGCATTTCCTTTGAGTGTCATGTTGACACTCAGAAGTTCCAGATTTTCTAAGATTTCTGATTTTTGGGTTAGGGATGCTCAACCTATATATCACCTTGACATAGAGTTACTCGTTTTGTGAGCTCCTTGCTTGCCCCTTTCCTCCTCCCTTTCTGGGATCACAGCATTTGAACTGAAAAGGATCATAAAGGTGGTCTAACCCAATGGCTTATCTTACGCATGAGGCTCAGAGAAACTAAATAATTTGTCCAGAGCACATAGTTAATTTTTTGCAGATCTGAAATGAACTTCAG